TCAAATACTTAATACTTTCTTGAAATCCTTATTCTCATAACTATCACATGATTTCTATTTCAGTATTATCTATAAATTTAGACTTTGTTGCAAACCATTACTATTACAGTGCTGAAATCTAGAACCCAAAAATATTGTCCATTTGGCATCAAATCTTTTTATTCTTTTCTATTCTTTCACCTTTCCCACTGACTCTAAACCTACTAGCTAACTTCATTTTAAAACTTAATGAACTCCACCCCTGCTTCCCTGCTACAGAATGAAATGTATCCCTTTAAAATTCATACATCCAAGCCATAACCCTCAATGTGACTGACTATATTTGGGAATAGGGTCTTTAGTAGGTAACTGGGGCTAAATGAGGTCATAAAGGTGGGGCCCTAATCTGCTGGGACTGAAAAGGATCAATATCTCTGGAGGTACCCCTTCCCTCTCTTTCTCTCTCTCTCTCTCTCTAAGACACACACACACACACACACACACACAGTTTTTTATAGAAGACTTAGTTAACTAAGACACTCCCATACCCCTTTTGGTTGTCAGCCCTTTTTTGGTTTCACTTGTTAAAAATTTTTCCTATTTGCTGTTTCTTTCTCCAATAATTATCCAGTCTCTACTTTTTCCCTTAGTAGTCAAGTTTTCTGAAGATAATATTAACTCCTTAATTCTCACTTATCCCTTAAAATCTACTATATTCTAATTGTCCTTTACAGCACTCTACCAAAAGTTATTTTAATAAAGTCATAAATTACTTATATATGTCCACCCAATGGCCTTTTTAATAATCATCATCCTATAAAATGTACCTCAGTATCTTACAATATCATTCATCTGAGACAAAAAATAAAGGTACAAGTATAGATTTTTCAGGAAGATAATTAGCTCAGTTCTAGAATTTAACTTTTGAATTAAATACAAGACGCAAAAATGTCAGGCTTCACATACAAACTGGACATTCGAGTTTGTAAATACAAACTAGACTGTAGAAAATGAAAGGTTGAGGGGCTGGGGTTGTGGCTTAGTGGTAGAGCGCTTGCCTGACATGTGTGAGGCACTGGGTTGGATTCTCAGCACCATATAAAAATAAATAAATAAAATAAAGGTATGTGTCCATCTACAACCAAAAATAAAAAATTAAAAGAAAAAGAAAATGAAAGATTGAGATAAAATTCCAGGGAGAAGGTACAATAAAATAAGAGGATTGCTAAGAATAGAACTCTCAAGAACACTAATATTTAGAACAGGTGAAGAAAAGAAAAACTTACAATGGAGATTCAATGAAGCAACCTGAATTTAGAAGGAACTAGGAATAAATACAATCTAAAAAAAAAATTTCGGAAAAGGGAAGAAATTCTTAGAGGCCTCATATCCTTAATGAATAGATTTACACACTTTTTGAGGACAGAGCTTTTCTTTATCCAGTAAGTAATCAAAAAAAAAAAAAAAATCAATGAGCTAAATCTTTCCAACAATAATATGAAACATGTAGTTTTTTACCTTTCTAATTTTCCTATGACTTATAATTTAATTTGCAGCTGTGCCACAGAGGCCTCAGCCTTACAATTAATTAGTGAAATCTGATTTTCCCCCTTTTTTTGAGACAAGTCTCACTAAGTTGTCCAGGCTGGCTGAACTTATGATCATTTCACTCAGCCTTCCAAGTACCTGGGATCACAAACACATGAAGCTGTGCCAGCTAATTTATTTTTCAAAAGTCTTAAAATGCTTTTTAACTGTTATAAAGATCATGACTAAAGAGTTTGCTCTTAAATTCTCAAAAAGCTTGAAATTCTGTTTTCTAAACGTATAATTTACTTTAAAATGATTTTTAATTCAATTGGAAGTGTTCATACGATAATTTTGCAACTCTAGTACCTTTTTTCTTTCCCCAGAAATTATAAATACAAAGACTCAATTACCAGGCACCCCCTAGTGGCAGTAAAGTCAAGAAGGTTTTTAAAAAATAATTTTCACCAAAATTTCAGGAGAAAATGGCTTGTCAGTAAATAGTTTAAGAACTTGGTACTTTATGTTTTATTAAATTATTTAAAATTTACTTAAGAGTAAATTTACAAACTGAAAATTCATGAATATTCTTGAGAAGAATCACAGTAGGTGAAATAACATAAATAAACTCCCTTCAAGAGTATGTATTGTTTTAGAGAATATTAATACTTTATAGGAAAAGAACCTTATGTTTGCTATTGCACTAGAATTGGAATGGTGGTATCTAGGAGCAGAACCTTATCAGAGTTGTTGCATTATAATTACTTTATTCTACAACTACCACCCCCCCCCCTGCCAATCTAGCAACATCCACTGAACTGATTCCAGAGAAAAATGTAACAAAATATCAATAAAATCAATTAAATATCAAACCAACCACCTAAACAAAATAGTTTTTTTCACAGAATTTACTATTTTCATAATTTGAAATGGTATATAACTCTAGGAAATTTTTTTACACTATCATTTAGATATCAAAATTATTTTTATTTCATGAAACACCAAATAAAATGAAAAAAATTACAAGTTAAATTAATTATTACTGTTAGCTTTTAAGGTTTTGTTTTTTGGAATGATTTCCATGAGGGTTGAAGATAAAGCTCAGTGGTAGAGCACTTGCCTAGCATTCAAAGGCCCTGGGTTCAATCCCCAGCACCATAAATAAATGAATGAATGAATTTCCCAGCACTGAAAGTATGTTATAAAAAGCTAATTTCTTGGGGCTGGGGTTGTGGCTCATGGGTAGAGCGTTGACCTAGCACATGCTAGGCCCTGGGTTCGATCCACAGCACCACAATAAAAAATAAATAAAGGCATTGTGTCCAATTACAGCTAAAAATTAAATATTTTTTAAAAAGCTAATTTCTACTTATACCAGAAGATATAGTGGTAAGGCTACCAATAAATAAATAAAAAAACAAACAAACCCTGACTTTTTAGTTAGGTTTTACTAAAATGTATACTAATGTGACTTTTATAACAGCAGGAATCTACATATCCCCTTTTTACATTGTATCTTTTGTTGGCCTTTGAACTTTTCTCTTATTGTTTCAACATAAGAAATGGCATCATTATAACTTGATAAAAATCCATGAAGTCAAATAGGAAAATACTTCTGTGCTTTAGTTCTCATTCTCTAAAAACACTGCCATTTCAGCAGTATTGTAGGCCCCTGCTTGCCTAGGGACCGAGTGATTAGCAATAAGAGGTCAGCCACATGGCAATGAAGAACATTTCCATTAGCCTAGAAAGACATTCTGATAAATCCATTTAATCATACTATTGGAAAGCACAAGATTATAAACAATGATGCTCCTGTCTGCTTTTAATGATGTGGATTACATACTATATGATAGTGATAACACTTTGTTAACTAACTTACAAAATAATGTTTTACCTGACTAGATACAGAATCACACTTACAACTCTTTGTCATAAGCTCATCTGAGTTTTCTATCAACATTACTATAAACACAAGGATTATGTTTGTAGTTTGTACATTTGTGCTATTTGTGCATATTCCGCTTTTCATTTATATGATCTACATATACAAGATGAAGAGCAATACAAGAAATTTTTATATTCTTAACCTAGAACAAACTATTTACAGACTATCAAATATAATTATGCTAGATTTAACTTTTCAGTTCAGTGATTTTCTACTTTGATGAAGCCAAATTTAAGATTCCCCTCTCTCTCTCAGTACTTACCTAAAAATGAGAATATTTGGTAGATGACTGGGGAAGAACTTAATGATATTCAAAGCTTAGGAATACAATTTTCTCTAGCACATAAACCAAGCAAATCCACACACCAAGTTGTATTAGAAAGAGGAAAAGAGGCCAGGCCTGGTGGTGCTTGCCTGTAACCCAATAGGCTCAGGAGGTTGAGGCAGGAAGATCCCAAGTTCAAAGCCAGCCTCAGCAACTTAGCAAGACCTTGTCTCAAAACTTGAAAAACAAATAAATAAAGGGGGCTGGGAATGTGGTTCAGTGGTTAAGTGCCTCTGGGTTCAATCCCTGGCACCAAAAGAATAAAAAATAACTAATGAATTAAAAATAAATAAGAAGAAGAAATGTGTATAAAAATGTGTATAAAACTGAAAATTTAAAAATCAACTGTAGTTATGGGGTAATATTGTTTAAAAGACTCACAAAATTATTATTCTATCATTAGTATAATCAGTTACTACAGATCATTTGCTTCATCTAGCAATAATAAATTTAATGTGCTATTAAATACTAAAATCTCTTTAAAATTCCATAAATGTGTTGAAAAATGAAAACAAAAACAATGATTTCCTCTATTTCTTTTTTTTAACATTTATTTTTTAGTTGTAGGTGGACACAATACCTTTATTTTACTTTTATGTGGTACTGAGGATCAAACCCAGTGCTACGCATGCTAGCCAAGTGTTCTATCTCTGAGCCGCAGACCCAACCTAATTCCCTCTATTTCAAAGAGAAAATAATCTTAATAAAAATTTTATGTCTGTTTTCCCAGTTTTATTCTTCAGAGCCCAATGAATATTCTTTAAAGGTATGTCTTCCTCCCTTTCCCCTAATACTGGAGTTTGAACCCAAGGCCTTACACATGCTAGGGAAGCATTCTAATACATCCTCATTCATTGATTCATTCATTCATTTATTTTGATATAGGGTCTCTCTGCATCAGCCTCCCCCCCAAGCAGTTAGGATTATAGGCACCACCATGCCCAGTTTAAGGTATATCTTCTTTAGCAATGAAAGCTCAGAGCTCCATTTATTCTTTCTCTTCCCTCTAACTCTAATTCTTCCCTTTCAACCAGAAAAGAGTCATTATAACTATTTTTAATATACTGGAGTTTTGCTAAAGATTTTCTTTGAGTAAGAAGATTCTGCCTCTAAAACTAACAAATTATCCAGACTAGATAGTTATAGCTTAAAGTAATAGCTTAAAGCAATTTAACAATCAAACTTTTCACTTCAGATTCCCAGGAAAAGCAAACACCTTACCCAGCATGACTAGATGATGAAGGTGGTGGCAAATCTGGTGTAAGGACATAAAGGCTGTTGTTTTTTGGCAAGTGTAGCGATTTTAAGACCGTCTGAAAAAGAAAAAATAAAACAAACATTTGTTGATTTATGGTTTTTTTAAAATAATACTTGAAAATTTAGCAATTTTCTAGTTTGACTTTTTGTCTTTGGGAAATTTCCTAAATAGGGTAATACAAAAGTGCTGAATACAAATAACCTAGTTTCTCTTGTATACATTATAAATTAGTCAAATTATGACTATTAAAGTAAAATGTAAATTCTTTAGCTCATGAAGAGTTACAAATGGATAAACACACACCTGAGACTCATTTAACTTCTTCACTCTAGAAGTATATGCTTGCAACTATTATGCACTGATTCCAGAGTCATTATGACAAATATTAGCAATGAAGATTTTCAGAAATCATTAGACCTTAGAAAGATAAGATAATAGAGAGCACCTCAAGCTAATGATTCTGTAGATAAGGAGGAATTACACTCTGAGAGGTTACCTAACTTGTATATAAGGAAGTATTAATTAGCTCAATTTACTCTTACTCTAGAAACCTTTCCTGTTAAAGCTCTCTGTCTGGAGGGAATAAATTACTCTTGAGCCACATCTGACCTACCATCTAAATAAACCATACACAAGTTTATTACATTTCTTGGCTACAAAATTCAAACATTTCAAACTCATAATATGATAGTAAATACTTGCTGAAATACTTTTGGGCAGCAATAACATTAGGAAGTATATTTTACATCACAGCTCAAGACATAAACTTATTCAACAGATATTTTATTGTGTCACATACTCCTTGATAGGATTACTCCAGCCATGGAGGATAGCACTGACTAGAATAGCCTAAAATAAAATTCCAATCAGAATTCACATTTTAGTAGGAATAAATAAAGTGATCAACCTATATAGCTGAGTATCAGAAAGGGATGAGTTTTTGTTTGTTTGTTTGTTTGTTTGTTGTTGTTTTTACTAAAGAAAAATCAAGGAAGGAAGAATATGAGATATAGGAGCTCCGTGATTTAAAACGAACTGGTCTCACTTGGAGAATGTAAATTTGAGCAAAGACCTAAAGTTGATAAGAGAAAAAAGCATGAGTATATATAGACAAAGAATATTTCAAGCAAAGGAAAGAGCCAATACAAAATGTTTAAGGAACAAGAAGGAGTTCAATGTAACTGGAGCCAAGTAAGCACTGGTAGGAGATAAGTCATACAGTAACAGTAACAATAAGGACAGAAAACATGTTGAATCATTTCTATTAATGTAAAGGTTTGGCTTTAATTCTGGATGAGGGGGAAGCTACTGTTGTAACATGATTGAATTCATGTTTAAAAAGAATTATACTGGCAGCCTGGTTCAGAATAGATGAGAAAGGGTTGGCAGAGGAGATCAGGAGAGCAGGTTAATGAAATAAAATAAGATAAAGCTGAAGGGGGCTTAAGTCAGTATGACAGCAGAAGTGGGGCAAACCAGTTGGATTCTGGATACATTATGAAGATGGTGCCAAAACATTTCCTTACAAACTATATACAGATTATGAGAGAAAAGTATCAATGATGACCCTAAAATTTTAGCTTAAACAAGTAGAAGGATGAAATTGCCATCAACTGATATGGGGAAGGCTAGAGATAAAGACTTACATTTTGGACCCACTAAATAGAAGTGTCTACTAAACATTCAAGTAGAGAAAGTAAGTAAATGACTGGATATAGAAATTTGGAATTCAAGACACGTCTGAAATGGATACATAAATTTTAAAAATATAAAATTACAGGAAAGAACAAAGTCATCAGCTGAGAGTAAGAATGAAGGGTAGTGTAGATAAACCAAGTATATACATTAGGATTTCCTAGCAACATTAAGGAGTGCTCTGAAAATCATGATCATGAATTTAAAAATATACTATCAGGATGATTTTGTTTGTTTCCAGCTACATTCTCCTATAAGACACAGAAAAGCCAGAGAGTTGGATTTAGTCAAAGTAAGGATTTCAGTCGAGCATGATGCTGTATGCAAGAAAATTATAATGACTATCATGAAATTTAATCTAGAGTAAAATGTGGAGAAAATGATATAATGAACATGAAAAGAGGGAAGAAAAAATGAACTGGCAATATAAATTGGGTTAAGGATTATTGGGATTAGGATAACTAAAATAAGTGAGCGAGAAAGATGAGAGATGATCACCAAAAAAAAAAAAAATGGGAGCTTGAAATTAAGATAAGAGTTGTCATTATTAAAAGATGATAAGACCACAGGTCTGAGCTAAGTGGAGAAAGATTTTTGTAGAGGAGATATTTATGGAACTAAAAGGTTAAAGTATTAGAAAAATCATTTACATTATATTAAGAATTAGGAAACAGTAATTATAAACCAGACACTAAAAATTATCAGGAAATAAAGGGTAATGACTTCAATAAGTAGATGATATAATCTTTTGACATGAAAATCCAAAGTCAAAAGAATTTTACAGAAGAAAAACAGATAAAGGTCTAGAAAAAGAAATGAGGAACAATGAGGCTGAGGGAGGAGAGAAGAGGATAAGAAGTTGGAGGTCAGCCTGGGAAACACAGAAAGACCCCATTGGAAAAGATTACCTCTGTCTTCAAGTGAAGAGTTTGATAATAGAAGGAATTATGCTAATGATTAATTCCTTCCACAGCAAACCTCTGCATGTAGCAAAAAAGTTTAAGACATCATAGAGGAAAAAGGACAGAGACAGGTATGGATGTGTAGGGACTATGAGGATTTAAGTGAGGAATGACTTGGGAATCTCATACTCCTTGCAGTGATTGACAGGGGGGAAAGGTGTAATGAAATTAGTCCAGACTAAATCAAAGCAAATGATAATACAACGTTAAAGTATTAGAAAGCAAGGAATGGCTGTTTAGTAATACTTCTTAACTGTGCAGATGGAGGTAAGGACTCCTAGGAAAGGATGATCTTACATAAGCAGGGAATAAGAACTTATTCTTTTTTGCGCTACTAGGTATTAAATCTGGAGATGTTCTATCACTGAGTGCTATACAGCCCTTTTTATTTCATTCTGAGACAGGGTCTTAACTAAGTTGTCCAGATTGGCCTTAAATTTATAACTTCTTGCCTCAGCCTCCTGAATAGCAGGGATTATAGGCATGTGCCATGGCATCCAGCTTGAAAGTATTACTGTAATGAAAGCTATGTTAAATATTGTAACATACAGCTTAATCAACATTTTCAAAATGATTGCCTTAGCCAGTGTAGTAGTGTGTGCCTGTAATGGCAGCTACTAGTGAGGCTGAGGGAGAAGGATAACAAGTTGGAGGTCAGCCTGGGGGTGGGGGGGGTTTTCTCTTCAAAAACTACTGAAAATTCCATGCAAGATTTTTTCATAGTCACAAGTTTCTAAATAAAAGAATGAATAAATAATATCTATGTAAATGATTACATTTTGGTGTTTTACTTATTTTTGTCAAGACTGTTAGTTCATACTACTCTTTTTTTTTTAATAAATCCATGTATAAACTACAACAGCCAGAGGCTTGAGCTGTATGTAGTTCAATGATAGAGCACTTATCTATCATGCATGAGGCTCTTTTGTGATCTCTAGCATTACAAAAACAGAAAAACCACTTAGCACCAGTGGTCAGCAAACTATCAACCACTACAAATTCAGCCTGTTAACTGTTTTGTATAGTCTGAAAGTTAAGAATGATTTTACATTTTTAAATGATTGGGAGGAAGAATATCAAAAATATATTCTCATGACATGAAATTACATAAAATTTAAATATGTTGTCCATAAATAAAGTTACATTGGGACAGAATTATGCTTGCTCTTTCACATATTGTCTACGGCTGCTTTCACTCTTTCTTGACAGCCAAGTCAAGTAGCTGCAATAGAGACCTTAAGGCCCACAAAGCCTAAAATATTTATTATGGTAGTTTTATACAGAAAACTTGCTAACTCCTAACTTATACCTAAACTTATAAATATTTTGTCTACCTGAAATTCCTGTAAATAACTTATTGAAATACTCTAAACTTCTCCTTATATCACATGAACTCACATATGATCTAAAATCACAATGACTATCTGAAGCTTTTCACAGAGAACTGAACAAAAAGTTGCAGATTCTATTTATGCCTGATTGTAAAAATACTGACTCAGTAACAGTATGGGAAGAGTCAATATATTACTTCTACCTCAAACATTTACAACTTTAGATTTAACTCATTTCTTTTCCTCCGTCCTCACTCTTTCTGTAAAAATAAGGTGTATGAAACATTTTATATCCAAGGCTGCTAATACATGCCCCTAAGAACAGAAGCTATTATCTGAAAATTACAACATTGCAGATTCTTAAAATATTATTCATTCCACTCACCTGCCACTATCCAAGTAAACAAAGAAATATTCTATCATTTAAATTTTCTAAGTTTTAAGTTTCCCATTATTATCTTTGTTTCATAATTTACACTTGCAAAAACGTATACATTGTGTGAGGGGCTGGAGGTATAGCTCAGTTGGTAGAGTGCTTGTCTCAAAAGCACAAGGTCCTGGGTTCAATCCCCAGCACGCCCCCCCCCCCAAAAAAAAATATATATATATACATATACACACACACATTGTGTGAGACTTCTTTCAGGTAAGTAAGTAATTGTTCAATAAGTTATCATTCCAGAGCACTCACTGACACTCTTAAGAAGTTTGAGAAAAAGACGGACATCTTAAAAAAAAAAAAAGAATGTCAAAACTCCTATAAAATACTTAGAAAAAAATATTCCACATAATATTTTCATTTACATAACTCATTTAAAACTATTTTTGGTTTAGTACAAAAAGACTTTAGCTTGAAAATCACTGTGGATTACATAAACAAAATTACTATCATCAAATCTATTTCTGGCATATATAACAATATTAGTCAAAATCAATTTTTATATACAAATTAGTCAATTGCATAATTTAATTTTATTTCTCGGCAATTAAGAAACTCACACTGGCCGTGTATGGTGGTACATGCCTGTAATCCTAGTGACCAGGGAAGCTAAGACAGAAAGATTACCAAGTTCAAGGCTAGCCTCAGCAACTCAGTGAGGCCCTAAGCAACTAAGTGAGACCCTGTCTCAAAATAAAAAGGGCTAGGGATATATCTCAGTGATAAAGGGGCCCTGAGTTCAATCCCCAGTACTAAATACCAAAAAAGCAAGAAAAGAAACTCACACTGTCCTCCACATCTCCAGTTTTCCAGCCTTTTAACAGCATTTTAGACACAGGAATCTGAAGTTCATTTTCTAGAATCTGTTTAATTTCTCCTGTATAAATAAGAAGAGACCAAAGATTACCAACAAAAAAACACTGCCAATATTTGTCCATAATAGGACTAGCATTAATATTTCCATATAGTATACAATGACATTTTTCACATGCATGATATTTTTAAAATTTAGTCCAAACTTCAAATCTCCTTGATCACACAACTTAGTGCCCCCTTGAAGAACTCAGGCTTCAACATTAATTATGCAAAAATCCACAATTAATTAAATAGTTCATTAATTAATGTACTAATCTGTTTAAAAGCGTGGCTTCTAAATAAATAGATATCAGTGACTGGAGGTTTGAATAGAGAAGCCAATCAATTGACAATATCTATCATGTGCTCAGTATATGATAGGAGTAGCAGATAAAGTATAAATCCTATGGCATAATAATAGTTCACAGAGAGCAGGTTTTATAATGAAAATCTATGTTGAAATTTTATTTTGGGAAAATAAAATAACTTGCCTGCTCTTATTTCTGCTTCTATAAAATGGAAAAGAATATCACCTATCTCATCTATCCATAGGATACAAGTATGAAAGGAGATAATATACCTTAAATAAGAAGAGACTGGAAAAAAAAAGCCAATGTATATGATCTACAAGACAATTTAAATTTTATTGAAGAGTAAAGCAAAAGAATTTCAGAGGGCGGGGGGAAACTAGAGATGAAACTTAAGGAAATTCTATTCAGTAAAGATAAGAAATTGAAAGGTTTTTTTAAAAAAAAATTGAACAAGATGCTAATGAGAAACAGTGAGGAAGCACAATTTTTCCATATTTTTCAGAAATTCTTTTTCACAATCACATCTACTTACAAATTAATGCTATGAGCTCTCATACTATGCTATGTGAAACAGAACACTGAATCAAAATATGCAAATCTGTCATATATCTGCTTATATTGGATTGCTGCTGGTCTATAATTTTAGAGTAAAAATAATTTAATTTCACTTTAAAATAACAGAAACATCTGATCTAGTTAAAGAGGGAAAATAATTCCATGCCATTAAAGGAAAAGCAAAGCAAGAGGAAAAAAACTTATGCTACATAAGTTCTATGCAACACAACTGCTGAAGTAGGTAATGCTACAACTTGCCTCAGTGACAATTTTTACTTTCCAAAAGAAAGTTCCTATCTGGACACTTTGGATAATGCCTCGCCATCATAAAAACAATTCTGGTTCAACACTATATTTGTAGAACAAACTTTAATCAACCTTGTCATTCAAAAATGTCACTGCTGACAAAGAAAGTATCATTCTGTTTACAGAAATAGTAAAAAGGTAAGCTTTACTTTTCATACCAAATACATATAAACATTGCCCTTTCATTCAGGCTAAGGCTGGTATTTCTGGAGCTGTGCCTGTCTAGAACTGGGCATATGCATTTGCAAAAGTCTGTTCAATGCTTTCTTCTTCTCAGAAACATACCTCCACCTGACACCTCCTTCTTACAATCCTGAAAACAAAAAAACAACCATTAAAAAAAAATTAGCTTAAAGTCTCAATTACTGGGGGCTGGGGTTGTGGCTCAGCCATAGCATGCTCACCCAGCACATGTGAAGTGCTGGGTTGTATCCTCAGCACCTCATAAAAATAAATAAATAAAAATAAAGATATGGTGTCCAATTGCAACTATAAAAATGTTTTTTAAAAAAAAAGTCTTGTTTTGAACAACAAATTAAAAAAAACGTCTCAATTACTCTTTGCAGAAAGCCTGAAGAATATGAGACCAAAAAAAAAAAAAAAAAAAACTTTTGTTCCACAGACAGGAATAAAAAACAAAGTCAGTTATCTAATCTTCTTTTCTCCTCCCCCTTACTGCTACCTTTTCTTGTCCTCTAAGAATTCTACTACAATTCTCACTATTCTGTTCTTTTTCTATGAAATCAACTTTGTTAGCTTCAGAATATGAGTTGAGAGCATGTGGCATTTGTCTTTCTGTACCTGGTTGATTTCACTTAATAATGACCTCTACTTTCATCCACTTGGACACAAATGATAGGATTTCATTCTTTTTATGGCGGAATGATATTTCACTGTGAATCTATATCACATTTTGTCTACTCACATCCCCACCAGTTAATACACATCCCCATTAAGAGTGAGAGTTCCCCTTTTCTCTTCATATTCACTATCATTTTTTGCTTTTTCATTATTACAGGTTTTCTGACTGGGGTGAGATGTTATCTCACTGTGGTTTTAATTTATATCTCCCTAACAATTAGTAATGTTAGCATTTTTTTTCATATATTTTTTGGCCATTTGTATAACTTCTTTCCAGATATGTCTACTCAAATCAGGCCTCCATTTTTTTTTTTTTTTTTAAACAATGGGGCTCTCGTTAATTTGTCCAGGATGAACCTGAACTACCTGGCTCAAAAGATCCTCTTTCCTCAGCCTGCTAGGAGTACAGGCATGTTCACATGTGTGAGGACTGGACACCAAGAGCTTTACATTTGAGCTACATCCCCAATCCTTTTTATTTTTTGAGACAGGGTGTTGCTAAGTCACTGAGGGGTCTTGCTAATTGTTGAGGTTGGCCTGGAATTTGCCATTTTCCTACCTCAGCTGCCTGAATCACTGGAATTGTATATGCCACTGTGCCAGCTATTTGATATTTTATTTTTTTAATTTTTAAAAATTTTTTAATATTTATTTATTTTAGTTAGTTTTTTGGCAGACACACATCTTTTTTTATTTTATTTTTATGTGGTGCTGAGGATCGAACCCAGCGCCGCACTCATGCCAGGCGAGTGCATTACTGCTTGAGCCACATCCCCAGCCCTATTTGATATTTTAAAAATCAGATTATTGGGTTTGTTGTTGCTGCTGTTGTTGAGGTTTTTTATTTTTCATATATTCTGGATAGTAATCTTATCAAATATTTCCCAAATCTTTTCTTATCAAAGTTTCCAAATATTTTCTCCCATTGTTTAGTTTGCATCTTCATTATAATTAGGAGGGGTAAGTTCTAATTTTATACAGCACACTTGGGTGACTATAGTTTAACAACTTATTATATATTTTATGAAGAACTGAAAGGACTTTGAAGGCTCCAAACACAAATAAATGATAAATTTTTAAGGAGATGGAAATGCTAATTATTTACCCTGATTTGACTATTACACACTATATACATGTATCAAATTACCACATTGTATCCCATAAACATGCACATTTATGTGCTAATTAAAAAAGAAAAATTGAAGTCTTTTAAATTTGCACTGGAGAAACTCTAAAATATTTTCACTAATAATAAAAGTAACACATACATATTTTAAGAAACAAAATACAAAAATCAATTCCTATATCAATCCCCCCCCCAAAAGAACACAAAGCCAGAACCATGACAGCAATCTGAGTTCCTCATATTTTAACAATTATTCTGTATTTACCTCAATTCAAAAAATGTTGGTTTGAGTTGTATCATTATTACAACTCATGAGGTAACATATACATTAACTTTCTAGCATGGAAATTGTCAATGTAGGCTCTCAATTACCTGGTTATTGTGTTTTAGGATATCTAAAATAATTTAGAGCAGAGAAATGCTACAGTACAGCAAGTCTCATTCCTACTTGGATCTGCCTAATTCCCAAAAACTTACTACAAAATAGCACTGCCATTAGTGTTCACCCCTCTCCCCCATGTTATTTGGACAATTGTCAAGATAGGCTATTGTCACCAAGAATACATCACTGAATCCAATAGCTTACTTTAAAAAAAAAACTTGAGATACCTTAAAAATTAAAAATAAAACTACTATTTGAATCAGCAATTCCACTAATGGGTATATATCCCAGTGAAATCACTATATCTAAGAAATCTGTACTTCATGTTCATTGTAGCACTGTTCACAATAGCCAGGAAATGGAAACAACCTAAGTGTTCATCAGTGGGTACATATACACAATGGAATACTATTCAGTCATAAAAAATACTATCTTTTATACAACACAAATGAAAAATGGAGCTCATTATGCCAAGTAAAATAAGCCAGGCACAGAAAGAGAAGTACCACATGATTTCAATCAGATGTAGAATCTACAAAACTTCACAGAAGTTCGTAGATGTTGAAAGTATAATGGTGGTCACCAGAAACTAAGGAGTAGGGAAGAAGGAGAGAAAGGTGAAAGGCTGATCAATGAGTACTAAGAAACAGGAGCAAGAAGTCTGGCTTGCTGTATACTGTATATTTTAAAGTGCTAGAAGAAAGGATTTTGAAAGTTTTTACCAGAAATGACAAATATTTGAGGAGACAGATATGATAAACACCATATTTTCATACATGTATATGTGGTATAACTTGGTGCTCCAATAATATCACATTAATATTCCCTAATGTACATTTTTAGGTTTAATATGTCAGTTAAAATAAAATTTAATAAAAACTTAATTGAATTATAATTTACAAATAATAAAATTGTGATTTTTGAGGTGAGATTTAAAAATATTTTCACTGTTGCAATCACCATACAATCAAGATAAAGAATATTTCCTGTAACACAAAAAGCCTACTTATACCATTCTGAAATTAAAAACCAGCCTCCATACCAACCACTGATCCTCATTTTCATCCTAAAAATTAGTTTTGTCTGTTTTCTTTTCTGTCCATGTTGTTCATCCATGTTACTATATATACCAATTATATAGCTCCTTTTCATTGCTGAGTACTATTCCTTTAGTGGTTGACAGCTTCTGAAATGGCTTCCAATCATCCCACCTCCTATTGCCCTTTATAAATCTCCTTGAGGGTGGTTGTATCTAAGTATTGTTTCTATAATGGTCAACAAATATATAAAAAAATGTTCAACATCTCTACCAATTAGAGAAATGCAAATTAAAACTAGGATTCCATCTCACTACAGTCAAAATGGCAACTATCAAAAATACAAGTAACAATAAATGCTGGTGAGGACGTGGAGAAAGTTTACTCATACATTGTTGGTGGGACTGCAAACTGATGCAATCATTATGGAAAGCAGTATGGAGA